ACTGCAGCAGCAAGATGTGAGAGGCTCGAGAAAAAATCTTTTATTCTTCTTCCTCATTAGCAAGATGTCACTCTCTTCTTCCTAATATACACCCAACAAATGCGTTGGCTCTCATAATATCAAGCATGGTAACACCCAAAAGCTTCTTTGGATCATAAGTGCCTTGATTTTTGAAAACTTCGGCAGCAACTGGAACAATAGAGTTCACTGGAAATTTTGCAATTCTCTCGCAGAGGGTTTTGAAAATTCAAGCATTGACATTGAAAAGGTAATCTCTGGCCTTCCTGACTTCCGGTCAGAATGATGACAAATTCCATGAGTATAATTGCACTCTCAAGTTGCTGTTGTCCAAGAAAACATCTAACCTAAAATTCATAGCAGGAAGTCGTTTTGATCCTAGAAAAGGAAGTAAACTTGGAAAGTTCTCAGGGGGGTAATTAGCTACTTCAAGAAAAATGGGTAAAAGTATTAGATAAAACTCGACTGAACAATGCGCAAGGCTGGAGTTTCTTTTCCTTTTTTCATATTATCTTTTCTTGTACTGTCCTGTCAATCATATCAAACATGTCAAGTGGTTCTTCGCTGAGCGTCCACGTCCAAGTGATTAATATCATCTGTGACACCGACAGCATTGACCACATTGCACAACAAGAATTCTAGTAGTTAGACCCTCCATGAGAATGGTGGTGCAGAAGTTGGAAGAGGACTCTTGAAAATTAACTTAAAGAGACTAATCAAATTTGTTGCATAAGTTGGCTACAATAGTACATTAGTTTCATTTCGTTACAACATGTTACACATCTCAACAGAAAAACTCCGAGAAAATAAACCATGTAAAATTGAAAATTCATAAACAGGAAGAAGAAGAAACACATAAATTCAATAAAAAATTGAACAAAAGACAAGGCCACTTGTGAAGAAAATCTCACGTAAGGTTGTTCCTACTGCAGCTCCTCGATACATGGGTGCTATGGAAGTTAGGCTCCTTTACAATGGTTATGGGCTTTCTTACATTTCCTGCCAAGTTTCCTCTCTTTTCACGGTTTGGAGCTCGAACTGCAGTTCCATGTATCACTTCCATTTCTTGTCCCGGAATCAAGTAAGAAGGCATTTCCCTCACGACTGATGTTTCATGTATCACTTCCATTTTTTGTCCAGGAATCAAGCAAGAAGGAATTGCCCTCTTTGTTGAATACAGCCTGTAAAATTGAGCTACTAATTAACCCAAAAGAGCATTCTTAAAGTCAAGGATACAGAATCCTTACTTACCCTTGACGCTGAATAGAATGTTGCTGCTGAGGCGATCTCATTTTTCTAAACTTCTCCAACCTTTGAATCGCATTATTTTTCAGAGGGGATGCCATAGGCGTTGTTGGCTCCTGGTTTTTTAAAATATGAGACCGTTGAGGTGTTGCATTGGCTGCTGTTTTTGCTCTCTCTTGCCCCTGTAAAAGCTTTTGAACAATTATCATCTTGCTCTCTTTCTGCTAAAGCAACAGTTCATGAATGTTCTCAAATAAACTCATAAAGTGAACTTTTCTGGTAAGAAAATCTAACTTTTTGACAATGAAATATAATGTATCCTTTTGAGACATATATTCTACTTTTTAGGATGCCTCCATTTCTGACATAATTACATGTATTGGCCAAGATTTTAGTAGACTCATATTTTTCGCTGCTGTTTTTGCTCTCTCTTGCCCCTGTAAAAGCTTTTGAACAATTATCATCTTGCTCTCTTTCTGCTAAAGCAACAGTTCACGAATGTTCTCAAATAAACTCATAAAGTGAACTTTTCTGGTAAGAAAATCTAACTTTTTGACAATGAAATATAATGTATCCTCTTGAGACATATATTCTACTTTTTAGGATGCCTCCATTTCTGACATAATTACATGTATTGGCCAAGATTTTAGTAGACTCATATTTTTTGAGAAAAAAATTACTCACTTGAATATCATTTACTTCCTTTATGCACGTCTTTCCAGCTAGTGTTGAAACTGCACTATCAGACCGAGGAGATTGAAATTTAATTTTCCTCTCCAAGTGAGCTTCCTTGTGCATCATTCTTTCCTGAAGACCAGATCTTCATTAATTCACCACAACAATAATAGTGGTTTATTTACTATTTTACAGTTTGGTAGAAATATTTACGTCAGTTCTTAGCCTAAAAGGTTTAGGGGTTGTTGGCTTTGGTTTCTGGAACTTCAACACTGGGGCAACATTATCCTGCTGCAAAATTTCATGTGCTTCAGCAACCTATGTTAAAAATAAAAAATTAGTATAAGCAACTGAAACAGATTACACAATGCAGATGAAATCCGAGATGGAAGAAGACAAGTAAAATGAAACGAAACCTTTCTAATGTTTCCAGATGTGTCCTGCACCCCAAGGATTTTTATTCCATCCTGCTTCTGACTATGAGTGTCACCTCTGCAAGCAAATTATACACTCATAAGTTCCAGAACAAAAATCAGATTGCAGAAATTATCTGAACAATGCACACACAGATAACAACCAGAGAGATCTCAAACCTGTTCTCTCCAAAGCCCACAGCGTTTTCTTTGTCATCGCTATCCATTGGTTCGTTCTCATGTGTTGTTCCCTTGGAAGGATTGTGCTCAGCCTCATCTGGGACATCTTTAGAGCGTCGTTTGTTTTTTGAACCCAATTTCAGTTTATCATTCAGTTCGTTGGCATTACTGTGATCATTCACTTGTCTGTTTGGTTCTTCAGAAATTGGGTTAGTACTTCCCTCTAAGCTCCTCTCTTCTGCATTTGGCAAGTGTGCTCCTGTTCTTGAGGCATCCTCCAATATACCAATGCTGATTGTTGAAGTGTCATCAGCTCTTGATTTTACATCAATATTCAAATCACCAGGGCCATTTTTCACCAATTCTTTCGGGACACACTGTCTTGACAACTTCCCTTTGCTCTTACTACTTTTCACAGATCTTACGGACTTAGTTTCCTGCTTGATACAAGCTACAGAATCTAATTGTTCCCCAGCTGTTCTTTGAACCTTCTTGCTGCCACTCAACAGTCCTCTTTTACAATTTCTATTACTGTCCAAATTCTTCAAAGATTTGCTAGAATACCCCAAAAAGGGTTTCTTCTTCTGACTAGTGATTTCAAGCCTTTTCATTCCTTCACATAATTTTGTCGAGGGCATACGCAATTCCACAGAAGTCTTTACCTTGATAGCTTTCTTGGGAGAGTGAAAGACCAGAGTCTTTGCTATGGGGCGGTTTTCTGAGATTTCAATAGTGGTTGGTTTTGGATTCCTAACACTACGGAAGGAATTCGAATTTGGGAGGCCACTTTTGTTCCTTGGAGTTGTAAGATACTTAGCAGCAACCGGCTTCGTCTTGTTCCTTGGAGTAGACTCAGGCTTCAGAAGAGGCCTAACAACTTTTGATTTGTCATTGACCATCTTTTGAGAAATTGACGAAATCACTGCTAATCTTGATGATAATGTACACTTTGAAGATTTTGGAGGAGCTGAATGCGGACATTTTATAGGTGTTCTGAGGAAATATTCAAATCTATCATAAGCAAGTTATAGAATAAGTACTAAATGCAAAGCTTCGCCAAAATTTATGATCTATATTACTTGGAAGCATTTCTATTGAGTGTTCTCCGAAGTTTTACATTGGGACTCCTTGCTGCCATTACCTGTATGAATAAACCAGTCAAGTAAAAGATTTGGATTATTTCCGGAACTACCAATTGAGCAAAGAAATCGTCGATTGGGACTAACCCGAAGAAGAAAGTTTTTATAGATTGCTTCGGAATCCATGTCCTCCTCGTGCTTTTGGTCACATCCTGAAGCACCATTAACAAAGAGGAATTAGAAAAATCGCACAAGCTAGACGAGACATATAATCAAACAGAGTCTGAGCCTCCTGTAAAAATCTATATAAAAGCTTTGAACCTAATTTGAGCTGCTTTTGGTACATATAAAGTACTCATTCTTTCTTCTTTTACCCAATTTGAAATTACCAAAAACATCATGAACTTGAACGAAACATTTTTATCTAATAACTTGTGCAAGAGGAAGCCCTAATTTTGTTGTCAATTTGTAGCATAATTTTTAATTTTATCCAGTCTCATAATATTTAAACCTTCAAATGAAAACAAGGACAACAAATTAAAACCAAACAAAACCAAAAACAAAGAAATCATACAACTATAATCCCAGATCTTATTCATATATGTATAGAAACGCCAAAATCATACTACAAAAAACATCGGAGATAATTTTTTTTTATTGAAGGAATTTAACACTGACCAACGCGAAGGCAAAACCAGTAACGATCATCCGGGCAGTAATGGTCGGGGACAGTGAAATCAACGAACTTAGGGGCCTCAATTTTCTCGTAAAATTGCTCGTCTTCTCCACCTTCATCTTCAATTCTAATGGCGTCACTCAAATCTCCATTTTCCGACGAAAATGATTTTGATTGTTCCAGATATTCTTCCATTATATGAATTAATTTCTTTAATTATTTTTCGAATTTATACAGAAGAAGGGGGCATAAAATGTAAATGGAACGTTGTGATGTTTGTTGAAGAAGAGCAGAAGGAATATAGAGTGATTTTTGAAAGTAGGAACCTGTCTGTAACTAGCCGTTGCAATCCGTCCTAGTAATACAAACCAAATCCAGGGGTAATTTGGTATTCTATGTTTTGGGCTATAATTTGTATTTGGGCTTTTGGATGTAATTACTGAGCTTCGAGGCCCATTAATAGTCGGACTTCACTAGTGTACGCAGTTGATTGGAGAACTTACATAAGTACCCATCTTTTTAGGGCCATTTTGAAAAATCATGATAAACATGTATTAAAATGCAAATATTGTAAATTTCCATCAATAAACAGTAAAGATTATGATAATTTCCACCAATAGAATGAAGAATCCAATCCAGCAGATCCAAAACTCCAACTCCTTCAATCTCGAAATCAAGCAAAATCTAATACTAGACAAGATTAAGAGTTATTTCATTTACGTCTTCTTTAATGTTCTATTCATTAATTCTATATATAATCAATCCAAATCTCCAAGTTTATGTTATTTCTGATTTTTTATTCCATATGTTCAAATTTTGGTTGATTTTGATGTAGTTCAGGTTTTTATGTTCAATATGTTGAGGTTTACAGTTTGTTTTCCTGGTGAAAAGAGAAAAATTACATATTGTTTGATTTTGGATTCAATATGTTCAATCTACAGGTACACTATTTGTCAAAAATCAGCCTCCAATAGCGAAAAATCAAAGGCGTTTGAAAACAAAATCTAAAGCACGAAATGTATTTCAGTGTGATTGGGAAGCATGTTTGAAAATAACGTTGTTGAACTTGAGAAGAAATGGATTGTATTAATAATATGAAAAGTTAGTTTTGAATCAATTAAAACGGTGCGTGCAAAGTGTTTCATAAAAGGAGAATGTGAAAAAGTGATGTTTTGTCACTTTTCTATGAAAAGAAACTAAATGCATATGTGTGTATTTTTGAAAATTTGAACATTCGAACTCAAACATTGTTTTATGTTAATGCATATGAAAATTTAGCTTTGAATTAATTAGATTTAGGAATGCAAGGAATTTCTCAAAAGTAGAATGTGATAAAGTGACATTCTCTCACTTTTTTAAAAGAAAAGTCACAGTATCTCATTGGAGCAATTAATTAGATGTATACGTGTGCGTTTTTTGAAATTTGAATATACGAATTCAAATCTTGTTTTATTTTAATGCATAAAAAAACTTTGAATAAATTAAAGTGATGCATACAAAGTGTTTGAGAAAAGGATAATGTGATGACACTTTTTCTTAAGCAAGTCTCACACAATTTCTTTGTAATCCTTTTGTAGGTANCTTGCAAACATTATAAATGACATGATAAATACATATGGAGCGTCGATGAGTTATGATAAAGCTTGGAGATCTAAGGAAAAAGCATAAGAATTGGTAAGAGGAGACCCCAAAGAGTCATATGAAAAGTTTCCAGAATTCTTATACATGATAGAATAAACAAATCCCAGATTAGTGATAAAAATTGAGACATATCATGATAACAAATTCAAGTACCTCTTCATGGCATTAGAAGCATCTATCCGAGTATGAAAGTATTGCAGACCAATTATAGTAATAGATGCTACATTCTTTAAAGACAACTATGATAGAACACTTTTCACTGCATGTACGCAAGATGCCAACAACATCTTCATATTAGCATTTGAAGTTGGTGATTTAAAAACTAATGATTCATGAGAGTGGCTCTTAATTATATTAAAAGATTTATGGTGAGGGAGAAGGATTGTCTATAATCTCAAAAGGACATGCAAGAGGTATTTGAATAGATTCCGTGAAGAGGTACTTGAATTTGTTGTTCATCTATTACTATAATTAGTCTGCAATACTTTCACCCTTGAATAGATGCTCCCAATGCCATGAAGAAGTATTTGAATTTATTGTCCTGATATGTCTTAATTTTTGTAACTGATCCAAGATTTGTTAGTTTTATCATGTAAAAGAATTCTGGAAGCTTTTCATGTGTCTCTCCTCTCACCAATTCTAATGCTTTTTCCTTAGATCTCCAAACTTTCTTATAACTCATTGACACTCCATATGTATTTATCATGTCGTTTATAATATCTGTAGGAGTGTATGTTCTTTTTGTTGACATATACTTGTAAACAATGAATTTTCCTACTATTGAGCTTGTTGCTTAATGATAATATCCCAAAATGATTTTTATGGTGAGTGAGAAGGATTGCCTATAATCTCAAAAGGACATGCAAGAGGTACTTGAATTTGTTGTCCATCTATTACTATAACTAGTCTGCAATACTTCCACCCTTGAATAGATGCTCCCAATGCCATGAAGAGGTATTTGAATTTATTGACTTGAAATGTTTCAATTTTTGTAACTGATCCATGATTTGTTTGTTTTTATCATGTACACGAATTTTGGAAGCTTTTCATGTGACTCTCCTCTCACCAATTCTAATGCTTTCTCCTTAGATTTCCAAACTTTCTAATAACTCATTGACACTCCATATGTATTTATTATGTCATTTATAATATCTGTAAGATTGTATGTTCTTTTTGTTGAGATATACTTGTAAACAATGAATTCTCCTACTATTGAGCTTCTTGCTTGATGATAATATCCCAAAATGATGTTATTTGAGCACGTATGATCATTTTAATATACCTTACCTTGAACATATATGTTCTTCCAAGTCTTGAAGCCATAAAAGTCCATTTGCACTTATCATTTATACAATTCACCATATATTCTTTCTCGTCCGACTTACTTATCTTAAATTGAAAGTTATTGTGTATCATGTATACTGAAATATTTATCTTAACCAATGTCTTATTTATGAACACTTTATCTTTTGCAATTCCATCCATAATGACTACTGAAATGATATCACTTCATCTTTCATTCATCGTTTCTTCAACTAACGATATACTATTATATACATCAACAACAATTTTTTCAATACTAGGTAAATTTTTAACTGATGTCTTAGAATTATCAGTTATAGCTTCACAAACCTATAACTACATCATATCATTTTCTTTGAAATTAGCAGCTTCCAGACATTGTAAGTTATTACAAATTCAATTTCATTCACATCTACATGCAATGGAAAGCTTACAAGATGTTTAACCTTTCTCTTGAGCTCCAAATAAAACGATAGAGAAATATCATTTGAAATCTCCATAAAATGTAGGTTTTTTTCATTGTATATTGTATTCTTATTCTTTGTGTTGATGCACTTAATTTCATCCAGAAAATATCACACACTTTTGTTGTACGTGCAATCTATTGAGACAACAATTTTGATTATTTTATCACTTTTATATTCATTATCTTGTGTTAATTTTCATTCATAACAAATGAAGACATTAACTTTATCCATACTTACAAAAAGATTGCAAAGAAATTGTGTGAGACTTTTTTTTATCCTTTTCTCAAACACCTTGCATACATCACTTTAATTTATTCAAAGTTTCCTCTTTCATATGTATTAACATAAAATAATGTTTGAACTCGTATATTCAAATTTCAAAAAATCAAACTTATGTATCTAATTAATTGCTCCAATAAAATACTATGACTTTTTATTTTTTAGAATAGTGACTAAATATCACTTTTTCATATTTACTTTTAAGCAAATACCTTGCATACATCATTTAATTGATTCAAGGCTAAATTTTCATATATATTAACATAAAACAATGTTTGAATTCGAATGTTCAAATTTCTAAAAACACACACATATGCATCTAGTCAATTGCTATAATGAAAAGTGACAGATCATAGAAAAGTGACAAAATGTCACATTTTCATATTCTCCTTTTGTCAAACACCTTGCATGCATTATTTTAATTGATTCAAAGCTAACTTTTCATATGTATTAACACAATCCATTTTCTCTCAAGTTCAACAATGTTATTTTCAAACATGCTTTCAATCACACTGAAATACTTGTCATGCTTTAGATATTATTTTCAAACACCTTCAATTTTTCGAGATCGGAGTTTGGTCTTTTATAAACAGCGTGCTTGTAAATTGAACATATTGAATAAAAAATCGAACAAACTGTAAACCTCAACGTATTGAACATAAAAACCTAAACTATGTTAAAATCAATCAAAATATGAACATATTGAAAAAAAAATCAAAAATAATATAAACTTGGAGATTTAGATTGATTGCTTATAGAATTGGTGAATAAAACTCTAAAGAAGATGTAGTGAAACTACTCTTAATCTTGTCTAGTCTTAGATTTTGCTTGATTTGGAGTCTGGAGGAGTTAGAATTTTGGAGCTGCTTGATTGGATTCTTCGGTTTGAAATTATCGTAATCTTTACGGTTAATTGGTGAAAATTTACTGAGAATCTGGTGGTGATCTTTATCATCATTAAATAATCTAAACGTGTGTGTGTGTAAAACATGTTAAATTTATAACTTATGAGAGAGAAAAAAATGCAAAAATTATATTAAAATATGAAGAGATTTTCATACAAAAACACAATAAATATTTACTAATACACATAGAACTCTTTCTATGATTTTTTCGTGATAATTCTCAAGTCTGATGAGAAGGTCGAAAATGATAGTATTAGATTATAGCCAACCAAAATATGTCACGTCAAATCTCAACTCACAATATGTAACTTGAGGAATTAGTCCCGATTTGATCGAATAAAAATAAAAGTTTTAGTAAATTTTGACAAAAGTTGATAAAATTGTGGTTGAAAAGTTAAAAAAAGCTGGGTATACCATAAATATGTTGAAGTCATCCATAGGCAAAACCTTTTAAGCTTTGATCAATTCCAACAACTTCTTGATTATGCTTTTATTTCCACACTTACCCAATTCATTTGTCAAGGTTTGAAATGATTTATTTATTTGGAATGTGGAGATTTTCCTGTCTTTTTAGTTTACTTTCATCAGTTCGTTTTATGCTACTTCTTTAACAATGCTGATTTTTTAAGATGAACTCCAAATCTTAATATTATTAGTGAAAGGTGGCTTACAACATAGTATTGGTGCAAATTGATTGGTCTAGAGAATGTGACT